AAGTTCTCTGCATATATCAAATTCATCATCAGAAAGCAATACATTATTATCAAGACTATCGCTATGCAGTTGATTAATATAAGGTTTTAGTGCTATCAGACAATTGGTATCATGATAGCAAGAACTCTCAATATCTTCAATCACGTCCAACAGCTCATCAATACTTGGATTTAACTGCTTTTGTATGTCCTTTAATTTTTGACGATTAGAATCATTACTTAAAAAACAAATTAACTTTTTTGATTTTAAAATAATATTATTGACATGAGATAGTCCCAAATCAATACTGAGTTTTAGTATATGAGTCGAGTATGAAATAGTTTCAATTTTTGATAAACCTTCTTTTAAATTATCTTTATCAGTAGTAATACTAGCAATATTTTTATGAGTTAGCCCAAATTTTGATAGTTGAAGATGGAGTTTTTCAAAAATTTCTGATTTGACATATGCTTCTAAAAATTTTGTAATGTCAAGAACAACTTCGATTAAATTAAAATCATAAGTAAGCCAATGACAAGTTATTCCGAGAAAAGGGTGAGTTGACCAAATATTTAGTAAAAGTGCTATATATTCTGCAATTTCAGAGATTTTATTTTTAATATGTTTGACAGACTGATTATGCATTAATTATTGATGTTCTTAATTTATCAGTATTAGGTACTTTGAATTCAGAAATGAGGGAATTGACAAATTGTCTAAATTCATTATTGTTTATAATAGAACGAGGAAGAGTGAAAGAAAAAATCATCCTTAAAAAATTACAAATTTGCTCAAGTTGCTGCAGATATGAAAAAAATTATCGGAAATTTTTATTTTTTTTCAGGCGTAAAATCCGAAACATCAATATTTTTTCTTTTCTCAGATTTCAAGTTCATATCAATCTCTCTCTTCTGGTGCAATTTTTAGGCAAGTCTAACTATAATTTAAAGATAATATTATAAATTTCAATATGATTAAGTTTGAAAACTTTGCAGAATTTATCAATTGAAAATAAAAGAAAGAGAACGAAGTCTTATTTTAAATAGTTTTTAAATAATATAATTGAATAAATTACTATTGAATTGAATTATTTGATTGAAATTACCGCTACTATAAATTATTTCAAAATCATTTAGTTAAAAATATTATAATACAATTAATTGAATAAATTGATATTGAATTGAATTATTTGATTGAAATAAAAATCAATATACTTAAATAAAAATGTGATTTTTTTTTTTTTAATTTCCCTTGTGGAAAAGATCGTTAATATATTGTGTACAATACATGTGTAAAAATAAAAAAATATTATAGAGCTATTAAAAGTATATTTCAGCCAAAGGATTTTTTTT